AAGTTCACAACACCGGGCACAGTATTGCCACAAGTTTACAACACCAGTACAGTATTGCAAGTTGCAACACCAGTACGAAATGCTTTGCCACGGTTTACCGGCTTCCGGTACAGTATTGCCACCGGTTTACAACACCATTACAGTATTGCCACAGGTTTACCAACACCGGTACGGGCTGCCACAAGTTTACACCAATTTTTAGTGTGCCACAAGTTCACAACACCAGTACAGTATTGCCACAAGTTTAGCACCGGTACAGTATTGCCTGAAGTTTACAACACCAGTACAGTGTTGCCACAGGTTTACAACACCGGTACAGTATTGCCACAGGTTTACAACACCAGTACAGTATTGCCTGGGATTTACAACACCAGTACAGTATTATTGCCCACAGAGTTTACAACACCGGTACAGTATTGCCAGGGTTTACAACACCGGTACAGTATTGCCTGAAGTTTACACCAGTACAGTATTGCCACAGAGTTTACAACACCAGTACAGTATTGCCACAAGTTCACAACAGTACCCAGTATTGCCACAAGTTCACAACACCAGTACAGTATTGCCACAAGTTTACAACACCAGTACAGTATTGCCTAAAGTTTACAACACTTACCAGTACAGTATTGCCACAAGTTTACAACACCAGTACAGTATTGCCCACAAGTTTACAACACCAGTACAGTATTGCCACAAGTTCACAACACCAGTACAGTATTGCCACAGTTTACAACACCAGTACAGTATTGCCACAGGTTTACAACACCAGTACAGTATTTGCCACAAGTTTGTACTGAGTACAGTATTGCCACAAGTTTACAACACCAGTACAGTATTGCCACAAATTTTACAACACCAGTACAGTATTGCCACAAGTTCACAACACCAGTACGAGTATTGCCCACAAGTTTACAACACCAGTACAGTATTGCCTGGGTTTACAACACCAGTGCAGTATTGCCACAGGTTCACAACACCAATTACGAAATTATTGCCTGAGTTTACAACGCAGTACAGTGTTATACAGAGTTTACAACACCAGTACAGTATTGCCGTTTACAACACCAGTACAGTATTGCCACAAGTTTACACCAGTACAGTATTGCCACAAGTTTACAACACCAGTACAGTATTGCCTGGGATTTACAACACCAGTACAGTATTGCTACAAGTTTACCCAACACCGGTACAGTATTGCCTGAAGTTTACACCAATTGCAATGTGCCTGAAGTTCACAACACCGTGCAGTATTGCCACAAGTTTACAACACGCAGTACAGTATTGCCACAAGTTTACAACACCAGTGCAGTATTGCCCAGGTTTACACCAATTGCAGTATTGCCTGAAGTTTACAACACCAGTACAGTATTGCCTGAGTTTACAACACCAGTACGGAGTATTGCCTGAGTTCACAACACCGGTACAGTGTTGCCACAAGTTTTACAACACCAGTACAGTATTATTGCCTGAGTTTACAACACCAGTACGGTATTGTTGCCTGAGTTTACACCACCAGTACAGTATTGCCACAAGTTTACAACACCAGTACAGTATTGCCACAAGTTTACAACACCAGTACAGTATTGCCTGAAGTTCACAACACCGGTACAGTGTGCCCACAGAGTTTTGCAACACCAGTACGGTGGCGCACAAGTTTACAACACCAGTACGGTGGCGCTACAAGTTTACAACACCAGTACAGTATTGCCACAAGTTCACAACACCAGTACAGTATTGCCACAAGTTTACAACACCAGTACAGTATTGCCACAAGTTGCAACACCAGTACAGTATTGCCTGAGTTTACAACACCAGTACAGTATTGCCACAAGTTTGCACCACCAGTACAGTATTGCCTGAGTTTACAACACCAGTACAGTATTGCCACAAGTTTACAACACCAATTTGAAAGTATTGCCCGTTCACAACACCGGTACAGTACTTACAGGTTTACAACACCAGTACAGTATTGCCACAAGTTTACAACACCAGTACAGTATTGCCACAAGTTTACACCAATTACAGTGTGCCACAAGTTTACAACACCAGTACAGTATTGCCCGCACAAGTTTGCAGCGCGGTGTTGTAACAGGTTTACAACACCAGTACCAGTATTGCCTGAAGTTTACAACACCAGTACAGTATTGCCTGAAGTTTACACCAGTACAGTATTGCCTGAGTTTACAACACCAATTGCAATTAACGCACAAGTTTACAACACCAGTACAGTATTGCCACAAGTTTACAACACCAGTACAGTATTGCCACAAGTTTACAACACCAGTACAGTATTGCCACAAGTTTACACCAGTACAGTATTGCCACAAGTTTACAACACCAGTACAGTATTGCCACAAGTTTACACCAGTACAGCAAGCCCTCGAATAACAGTAGTAATGTGTCCTCCAATATTGCAGTGTAAGGTGAATCATTGTATCGCGACTCATTAATGACCATTAAAATAAAGCAATAATAATGAGATGTGTTCCCAAGTGTGACCTTTTCATATCTTTTGTGTGGCTTTTTACCCTCCTCTCCCCCCCAAAACAATACAATTAATGAAAAGTCCAAACTATATTCTTTAAATAATGTTTCTGAATGCACCTTATACAATATAAATGAATAATAATATGGTCACACAAGAGGAGATGGGACGCCATTGTTTTTGTTTGTGTTTACAGCCGGTAGTCCGGGACGATAGTTCTACACGAGAAAATGTAGAAATAAGACCCTGGTTGAAGCTGTAGTAAAATTAATGTAAAAAAATAATGTATGTTTTAAGTAACGTTATTTAATGTTAATAGATGGAACACTAGGAGTAGCTAACCATTAATGGTAAAGAAATAAAGCGAGACGATTGGGAACGCCAACGTATGAACAGTAAGTGCGTACATGTGAAAATATATCGTTATTTCTCAACATATGAATATGAAAGCAACACTTATTTACTGTTCATATATGTTTTAAATAATATTTACGAATGTAAAACAAAAATTCTACTCACCAATGGTGGTAAAGTCTAAAACACAAGGACAGCCAATGAATATTGTGCGAGTTTTTACTCAGATGACGAAGTCATCAGGTTCAACTCTGGCTGAAGTTGTAGCTTTCCATAAAGCTGTAGCTGAAACTGTTACTGAACCTGAAGTTGATGTTGAAGCTGCTCATAATGCTGAATTTGATGGTGTAGCTGAAGTTGGTGGTTTAGGCCTTCGAATAGTAAAGCTCTTGAAAGAACCTTGCACAGCTGCTTATTTTCTCATTATACATCTTTATGTAGAGGTCATTTGTGTTATTTAAATTTTAAGGCTTTGTTCTGTTAATGGATCCACTTCAGAAAATATGTTCATTGCTTGCTCCATATAATATCCACAGACCTCTCACCTTTTTCATGTCGTTTTAACACATCTAGTTTCTCGGCTAAGCTTATACACTTTCTGTTAGCTTTTGAACCAACACTACCATCACTTGCTCTCTTGCTCATGTTGAATAGGGATGCAAAAATGTTGTAAGAAATCTCAGAAAGTTTTTCTCCAGTTCCTGTACCAGATGCGTGAAAACAAAAGGCCCGCCAAGCTCAGAGTGTTGTTTACCACTCATTAGCAAGGCAGCTTCTTTGCACAAGGCGCTCTTCATTTTTTTACAGTAATTTTTTTTTTTTATAATACATATCGGGATTTAGTTATTATTTATATGAAAATGTAATTTAATTTTGTTTTTATTATTCAGTATAGTCTCGTTTTACGCGGTCAATTAAACCCGTGGAGGTCCGCTTATAACACGAAACGCGTAAACGAAATAACAGAACATATGGGATCAATTGAAATAGAGACTGGGCCGACCCCCAGACTACCCTTTTTCCGACACAATACGTATATTGTAGTAAATATATAATCTTAATTTTATGATGGTATGCACGCATAATTAATATATAAGAGAAATATCAATAATATTAGGTTTTTTAACACTTACGTTAGTAGAAGAGATGGCTGGGCACACGGGGATGGGGGGTTGGTTCTGAGGCAGAGGGCAGATTATTGGCCCTCACCTGTATCACTTGTATCAATTGTATCACTATCCACCACAGAGGCTTGCAGGGCCTCCTTGTCAAACCCCTTAAAGTCCATATCCTCACTATCACTGACTTGGGCCGGCTGTGGTGGGTGAAGAACTCGGCAATGTTTTGTTGACTGGACAAGCAAGGTTAAATAGACCAATCACAGCTCGCGGCGGAGGGGATGAGTGGGTGGTAAGGATGCGTGGCCCAGTCACAGTCCGAAACGTCATATGATGTCAGCGGTAACGTAAGAGCGACCTAGTCTGCAGCTTGTCCGCGCCACTTCCCGCGTAAATTCAGGAATGCACCGCGTAACTAATAATTGGCGCGTCTGGACAGGTGCCACGTAAATGACCAACCGCGTATAAAAAATCCGCGTAAACCGAGACTTTATTGTATTTTGGTCGTAAATACGAATGAAATAAGGACGTAAACTGAATTGGGTCCTAAATTAACTTGGGTCTTAAATATGAAAAGTTGTTGGTCGAACCGTTGTTATCAGAGGCCTTACTGTATTGCCACAAGTTTATAACAACACAGTCAAGTCCAAGTGTGTATGTGAATCAAAAGACTCAGAGTGTTAGTTGGCATGTCATTTATTCTCTTGAATGTAACAGTAAGGGTTGGAGATTTGGTTTGAACAAAGTAAGAATACAGTACAGTACAGTATAGGGTTGGTTATTGTTGGTCATAATTAAAGAGGAAAGATGATGAGTAATATAACATGAAGAGGTCCAGTACTTACAGAGGAACAGTTCTGTGTGCGTGTGTGCATGTGCGTGCGTGAGTGAGTGATTGACTCTTACCTCAACATTACATAATCATTTTTGCCAGGATATTGTGCAGTGGTGTGATACCCTCAGTTAAACTTTACAGCTGGAGAGGTCAAGAGTTTGCTGACAACTCTTATGATGTTAATATTTACAGGTATATTTTCCTGCAGGTAAAGTGTGAGGACATAAATGTAAAGGAGGAACCAGAGGACTGGCCTAACACAGAGAGCAATGAGGAGTCACAGCTGTTCAGGTTTGCTGACCCAGGGTTGACGTACCTGGCCAACACGTCCACGTTACCTCTAGTGACTCAGGGCCAGGCAGGCCCCTTGGACCATCCTGCCCACCCAGTGCCTGGACCATCAGGATTACACTCTGTAAGTTGAGAGTGATGATGATGTAATGTTTTATATCAACACTTGGGGGGAAACATTAGTGGTGAATGAGTGTGGCAACATTTATGGTGGCAGTACAACTTTACATGGTAACTCTCTTCATACAGTATATATAGCCTTTCTCTTTGTGTGCCGACTAATATTATAGTATAGTAGTGAAGCTGGTGTATATGGGTACAGTACAGTACAGTAGAGTAGTACAGGTTCACAAACCTTTATCCGAAATTCCGAAAACGAAAAAGCTCTAAAAACCAAGTTTTTTGTGGGGCTTTATTTTTATTTATTTATTTATTTATTTATTTTTTAACAGGTATTAGCCCACCCGGGCATAAATCACTGACCCACATCGGGGCCTGGGGGCTAAAATGTAATAGTAATAATAATTATAATAATAATAATTATTCATAATAAATAAAAAATTTAATTAAAATACTGTACACCAAAATAAAATAATAATGATAACAATAATTATAATAGTAATAATAAAATATAATAAAATTAATAATAATAATAGTACAGTGGGGTATGCTATAACGAATGTAATTGGTTCCAGAACCTCGTTCGTTATAGCATACGTTCGTTATAGGATTAATCCGTTCCAGGCCCCCAAATACAACCACCTAACACTGAAAAAATTCTGTGGAAAATGTAAAAAATACGGTACTTTATCTTACCTTAGTGTTATTCAGCATGCAGGTACCCCTAAACACTGGCACATCACTATCACTTCCACTGGGAGTCTTGGCTTTAAGGTCCTCAAACAATTGTTTAGCCTTCTCACAAATTATAGCTTCACTAATGTTACCACCTGCCATTTCTTTCTCCTTTATCCACACTAAGAGTAAATTTTCCATCTCTTCAATCACATTACACTTTGCTTTGCTAAGTCTAAAGATTCCCTTTGCCACTTGCACAGTTTTTAACTCCTCTTTATTCTTCAAAATCGTACATATAGTCGATTTAGCCATCCCATATTCATCACTAAGTTTCGCAATGCTTCTTCCATTCTCACGTTTCTTTATAATTTCTTTCTTAGTTTCAAGGGTTATTAGCTTTCTCACTCGCTTTGGACGACTCATTGTTACAATTGTATACTTGTATAACAAAATAGTTATACAAATAACGCGAATTTCCTCATCAAAAGACGAAATTTCAACAATAACAGTGGTGCACTGGCTACACAATGAGACAAAGATGGCGCCTGACGCTCTTGTTGTGGGTCGCGGTACAACAATATTCATGCGCCAGGCGAAATAGTCCCGTATTCATCCACGTTCGTTGTAGGAGTTGCGTTCGTTATAGCATTCTCAATTTTATAGGTAAAACTGTTCGTTATAGGAATATTCGTAGTAGGATCCATTCGTTATAGCATACCCCACTGTAATAATAAAATATAATAAAATTAATAATAATAATAGTAATAATAAAATATAATAAAATTAATAATAATAATAATAATAGTAACAATAATACTGTAATGAAATAATAAGAACAATAAAGAAATACAAGAATGAAAAAAAAGATCAAAAGTGAGAAATGCGACCTAGAACCTATGAATTATTATTACAGTTATAATAATAATAATAATAATAATAATAATAATAATATTCCCCTCAGGCCCCAATGTGGGTCAGTGATCTATGCCTGGGTGGGCTTATAGAAAAAAAATTAAAAAAAATAAATAAATAAAAATAAAAACTAACCATTCTGAAAACCGAAAAATTCCGAAATCCGAAATGCCTCTGGCCCCAAGGATTTTGGATAAGGGATTGTCAACCTGTAATTCATCTGTGTTAAAAGGGGTATCCAGACTACAGCTCAGAACTCTTAATAACAAATTGTGTCGTAAAAGGTAAAGAAAAGGCTACCATGGCAGGTATGTGTTAACAAACCTGGAAGACTGTGTGCCAAGTTGAACCCAGCGAGGGAAAATGTTGGACTTACGGAGGGCATCACATGCTTGAGGAACACCCAGATATTAACACAACAACTTAGTGCAACATGATGCTTATCTCACCAACTATATGATGGAGCTTTTAAGTTGGGTGGGTCTACCAGCAGTGTGTTGGAAGCCTGGTGTCCACTTGTATCTGGGGAGAGATGGTGCTTATGACTGATGCACAAGGTCACAGTAAGAGTCAACGAGAAAGATCAAATAAAGGGAGAATATTTCTGTGTTTGGTTTGGATTCCAGTGAGTCTCTTAAGTAAATGATTTTTAGAATTTGATAGGTAAAACACACAAAGTTTAATTTAGTACCTGACCTTTAACTTAAATATAAAAAAAGATGGTTTTTAATGTAGTATTCCTTAAAGATTACAGTTATTGATATTTGGTAAGTGTGCACTTGTGTGTGTGGAAAGTGAGACCATAATGTACTTGTCCACAGGCAGTTGGTTGGGAGCACCAAACACTCACAGCTTCTGATGACTTTGTACAGTACCGAGACAGCCCCATTAAAGGAGTGAGTCAGGTGAGTACAGTACAGTAATACACAAACCTTATTTAATTTACTGACCGTCTACTGAGCTGCCAAAGATGTCCGCCACAGAACTTTTCTCGTACGTCAACCCCGATACTGTACGTGTTTCTCTCTAGGCAGTTAATATGTCTCCCCTTCAGATAATTATATTTAACCGGTTGTCTGTGCTCAACTCATTCCAGACTTAGTCAATGTTTTGTGTTGGTAGTTGAGCAGATCATCTGGTGTTGTCAGATGTGAAGATGTGCAGTACAAATGATACATAGAAACTGGTGTCTTGTTTCCCTTGCTGAAGCTAATACAGGTACTCCCCCACCCGCACTTACGACCTGCCTGTTGTACCAAAATTTGGTCAAATTATGTATTTTTGAGTCCCAAAGTCAGTACACAGACAAAATTTTCATCTGTTATTCACTTTAAAATGGCTGGCAAGCTTAAAATTGAGTGTTTTGTGGTGCTGAGAAGAAAAAGAGACCCAAATTTTCGATTTTCTGTGTTATTTAAGCATTTCCGACTTATGACCTGGATGTCGGTCCCTAGCCCCGCCGTAAGTCGGGGAGCAGCTGTACAGTGTATCTGATACATTAGTGATACTCTTGACCTCTCTTATCCTTTTTGGTCATTTTTAATTTCTTTCTTGTCATTTGGAAATGAATTATGATGTAACAAAAGATTTTTCACACACTACCTTGACTCACCATGAGGGCTATATCAGAACTCCATAACTTTAGTAGTAACTAAACTTTGGATTTAGTGCTTCATTTTCGTCACACAAACTATGAAAACAAGGTAAGTTCCTAGCAGGTAAATAATTCATTGCAGCAGTTTGGTAAAGACATTCAGTTCACAAATGATGTTGAGACCTTGCATGTGAAACAGCCTCCAGGAGTCTTACTTTACTGTGTTTGTCTGCTTGTAACCCACTCACAGCTCACTATTATAATGTTCTTGTGTACTTGCATGAAAAAAAAAATTATTCTCTGTAGAACCAAGAAAAACAATATTTTATTACATACAGTATTACACTAAAGGTCCAGTGGTGTGACTAGATGTCCACTTTTCTGGTAAGATGGTTTATGGTACAAGTCAGCTGTGCACTGCTCCGTCCTCTTTATCATCATTATTGTCAATGTTTTACAACTATTTACCTTGCTTGTGCAGCTGTTCATGCTACACAGTCACTCATGTTGGGATCTTAACTAAGGTCATGTGTTAAAACCTCTCCCCATGTCATTCTTGGCCTACCCCTGGCTCTCCTCCCCTCCATATTCTTGACCTGCTCCTGGCTCTCCTCCCCTCCACATTCTTGACCTACCCCTGGCTCTCCACCCCTCCACATTCTTGACCTACCCCTGGTTCTCCTCCCCTCCACATTCTTGACCTACCCCTGGCTCTCCTCCCTCCACATTCTTGACCTACCCCTGGCTCTCCTCCCTCCACATTCTTGACCTACCCCTGGCTCTCCTCCCCTCCACACTCTTGACCTATCCCTGGCTCACCCTGACCTCCACATTCTGACCTACCCCTGCTCTCCTCCCCTCCACATTCTTTGACCTACCCCTGGCTCTCCTCCCTCCACACTCTTGACCTATCCCTGGCTCACCTGACCTCTACATTCTTGACCTACCCCTGGCTCTCTCCCCTTCACATTCTTGACCTACCCCTGGCTCTCCTCCCCTCCACATTCTTGACCTACCCCTTGCTCTCCTCCCCTCCACATTCTTGACCTACCCCTGGCTCTCCTCCCCTCCACATTCTTGACCTACCCCTGGCTCTCCTCCCCTCCACATTCTTGACCTACCCCTGGCTCACCTGACCTCCACATTTAGGTTCATGCATCTCTTGACCTAAGTGATGTCACCCATTCTCTCCACATCCACCTCACCATTCTCAACCTGCCTCTATGCAGGACGTCACCAGTACTCTCACTCTCCAGCTGCCCTCTTAGCTGTCAACAGAGCCTCCTGTCTTTCAGTGTCACATTACACATCCACCTCACCATTCTCATTTCAGCTCGCTCAAGTCTACTTATATCATCTCTAACTGCCTTTGTTTCACTGCCAAACAGCATCACACTTTTCATGCCATTTTCATACATCTTTACTTTCACATAAAGAAAAAAATAGAAATTTTTCATTTCATGCACAATATTTTCATTTTGTTTCATGTACTGTATGTTGCATCACTTATTACACCAAGACAACAAACATGTGCATCATTTTCCAGGAAACACATGCAGGTAATCCAGGATTTATGATAATCCAAAGTTACAACATTTTTGCCTCATGCTTTGATTTGTGTACGAAAAAAAGACTTACATTTTATTGTTGCATTTTGTAATTGTTTTGGCAACACCAGAAGACGGTAAGGTGGTGACACAGGTGCCTCAGGTCTACCTGTACTGGACCTGGTCATCTTATAAACTAGAGCTAACATACAGTACAGCACAGCACAGCACAGCACAGTACAGTACAGTACAGTACAGTATTAAGAGTGGTTGAGTTACATACCTGTAGTGTGTTGAGTAACCATGAGTGAGGGTAAGACATTCACTTAAGGTGCAGTATTATGACTGTCGGAACACTCATGTGTTTAGTATCCCACAGTTTAATCTCAAATCAGTGAGGAAACATCTCAATATGTTCGTAAGTAGAAGTGCTCCTGATGTGCTCCTCTACTTACGAACGAGTTACGTTCCTGAGGCTTGTTTGTAAGTCCAACTTTACTCCTGTAGATACCAAACATATTGTAAAAAATGAAAAGATTATGGATATTTAGTACAGCTATACCCTTTAATACAGCCTTAAAACCTGGCTCTTTCTTCTCCTCTTAGGTAATGTTTGTTTTATCTGGAATTTTCTTCAAAATAATCCAGTCTCATCCACATTAAACACTTGTTCTGGCAGGTAACCCCCCTCAGTGATGATGTTTGTATCTCTGAAAGTTTGTAAGTTGAACGTTCTTAAGTAGAGGAGCACCTGTATACCTTCGCCAGTCACTGGTTTGTGATTCACAATTTTGATGATTCGCGGTGAGCAGATGGTAGCTATGGTGGCTAGCCTGGGAGCCTTTTCCTGCAGCACAACGAGTCACCCCACGCAGCATCTGGTGTTGTACTCTTAAACCTTTTCTGTTTCTGTGTGAAAATGGTCCCTAAAAGACTGCCTAGTGTCAGTGCTAGTGATGCTAGTGGAGTGAAACATAAATGGCAGAAGTCGGTGATGACCCTGACAAAGAAAATATAATTATTAGACAAGTTAAAAGAGGGGATGAGTGCTGCCGTGACTGGTTGGTTGGTTGTTCGGTATAGGTATACTGTACAGTAGTGCACTAAGGTAGTATAAGTTGCTATTTACAGTTTTGCCTATTCCTGGGAACCTAACCCTCACTAATAACAAGGGTCTACTGTATATGGAAGTCATATCTCTGTTAGTCAGAATCCCTCAAACCCAGAACTCTCCAATAGCCAGAATTGAAATCGGTTGAAAATTTTCTGGGAAAACTCTCTCCATTCCGGTTCTATGAATGAGTTACGAGGGTGAAAATCGGCGGCATTTCCTGAAAAATTCCGTGAAGGTTCTGAGGAAATCTCTCCTAACCTCTTCGTTCTGGACCTGGAAATAAATTTTCCAAGAGTTCCGAGAGATTGCATCATGCTCCAATGGGTCCCTACGTGCCAGGCGAGTGGGCGGAACAGCTGCTTGGATTGCATAGTTCATATTTCACTGCCATTATAGATGTTTGTTCCCTCACTAGCTGCTGTTTTTGTGTACCAGGTCACATTTGGCCAAGAATGCAATAAGTGTTAAACACTGGAGCACCTTACCTTTCATCTTTATTCAAGACATCTTCAGGTCATTAGATCCACTAATCCTTCACCTGACAATGGGTGACCTGATATTGCATCAGGTCAGGTCAGTAAAATGAGACCCACTAATCTCCTACCACACCTCCACCACAACTGTTAAGACATAAAAAGTGATTACAGTTACATATTACGTTCAGCAGAGCGGACAGTGTGCCAACTGTAAGCTCAAGACGACACCATCTGCTGGTCAGTACAGTTCAGTAATGCCTCGATAAATCAGACTTCAATATACAGCAATTCCTTGTTTTTGGACTCGTCAGGTGCTCTGGTCACCAGAAATACTGTATTAAAAATATTATCTAAGTACATGTTTTAAGAAATGGGGAAACTAAAAAAGAAAATCTTAATAAATGAACCAGACTTACTTATTACTGTACAGAGGTCTAATGAAATTTGTTGTAGGCCTACTGAGAGCTAAGACACTGTGAGCAGGCTGGGGCTGATCAGGTGTTGCCACATTCATCAGGTTTATTGATTCAGTAATATATTATCACATGATTGGCCTCTTATGGTTCATTAATATAACATCTTCAGTAATAGACAAAGTCAAAGGATAAGCTTTATTGGGAGGTATTCACCCGGGATGTGTTGTCAGCAGACCAGCTTACAACAGGGGTCACTATAACACACTGCAGTATATATAGTGTTTGTAGTGAACACAACAGGGGTCACTATAACACACTGCAGTATATATAGTGTTTGTAGTGAACACAACAGGGGTCACTATAACACACTGCAGTATATATAGTGTTTGTAGTGAACACAACAGGGGTCACTATAACACACTGCAGTATATATAGTGTTTGTAGTGAACACAACAGGGGTCACTATAACACACTGCAGTATATATAGTGTTTGTAGTGAACACAACAGGGGTCACTATAGTAGTGACACAACAGGGGTCACTATAACACACTGCAGTATATATAGTGTTTGTAGTGAACACAACAGGGGTCACTATAACACACTGCAGTATATATAGTGTTTGTAGTGAACACAACAGGGGTCACTATAACACACTGCAGTATATATAGTGTTTGTAGTGAACACAACAGGGGTCACTATAACACACTGCAGTGTTTGTAGTGAACATACCTTCCTAACAATGTTATTAACTACCCTT